AAAGCTATTAGTATGGAAGTGCAAGAACAACGAAGTTCGAGACAATTATTGAACATTTTGCAAATTAAGTATAATAGTATGGTTTGTCTATTTTACCAAGTAACTCTGCAATTTTGTCATCACCTGTGTTCTCCTTCACTACATAATTACTAGTCACTGATGCAAGATTTTGTACAAAGGGTATTATTTTCGCGTAAAATATATACTTCACAGATCAAGTTTATCCTTCTTGGTTTCCTTAATAAGGAGGCCAAGTCAATGGTAATAAACGCACAGTATTAAGAAGTAACTATGCAGCTGGACGATCTAGACTTCGCAGACGATCTGGCCCTTCTATCCCAAACGCAACAACAGATGCAGGAGAAGACGAACAGTGTGGCAGCAGCCTCAGCAGCAGTAGGTCTCAATATACACAAAGGGAAAAGCAGGATTCTCCGATACAACACAGAATGCACCAATCCAATCACAATTGACGGAGAAGATTTGGAAGTTGTAAAAACCTTTACGTATTTGGGCAGCATCATTGATGAACAGGGTGGATCTGATGCAGATGTGAAGGCATGGATCGGCAAAGCAAGAGCAGCATATTTACAACTGAGGAACATCTGGAACTCGAAACAACTGTCAACCAACACCAACGTCAAGATTTTCAATATAAATGTCAAAACAGTTCTACTGTATGGGGCAGAAACCTGGAGAACTACGAAATACATCATCCAGAAGATACAGGTGTTTATTAACAGTTGTCAGCATAAAATACTTCGGATCCTTTGGCCAGACACTATTAGCAACAACCTACTGTGGGAGAGAACAAACCAGATCCCAATGGAGGAAGAAATCAGGAAGAAGCGCTGTAAGTGGATAGAACACACATTGAGAAAAGCACCCAACTGCGGCACAAGACAAGCCCCCACATGGAATCTTCAAGGCCATAGGAGAAGAGGAAGACCAGGCCTATGCTCCATTGGGAGTAATAGGCGTAAGTAAGTAAGTAATTAAGAAGTAATTATATGAGTTCACTAATTGAATTTAGTGTAGCATTACAATTCAACTGATATTCTGATGAACAAGTCATAACATCATATCATTTATAAAACCTTCACCTTTATTTTCATAATTTTTTTAAATTTACCAATTAAATGAGTTTATGGATTGGTTCAAGAATCAAGTTCAAAACTCCGAAAATTCGCTCTCAAATTTAGTCACCAGTTTGCACAAAAATGGTTTTATAGTTACATTTTATATTTTAATAACTTGCAAATAATATACCTTCTTTGTGTATACATAATAATAACATTACCTGTAAATGACTAAAGAAAATAAAATCTCCTACCATAACCATACTATAGTGAATGAGAATACAAGTGAAGACAACCAAATGTATTTCCATACATTATAGAATATCTTGATAAAATCTGACAGCCATACAGTAAATACTTCATTTACAAAATATCCAACAATTACCTTAGACTTTATTGTTCCTTTGTTTCCATATCAATCATTCTCTACTCTTAATCACTTCTTTTCAATTTTTTCTCAATCTTCTGCCGTCAAACACTTCACTTTCCATTGATAATACATACTACTTATATTTGTCGACATTAGTAGTACACATCAAAATACTCTTTAAAATTTTATGATAAATCATACATTCTACTGAATTTGTTTGTGTAATTTTTTTCAAAACAAAAAACATAAACGAAATCCCATTTACATCCTATTAATACTTATGAAAATGGAAAGAAATGACAGACTACTAGTTCTTATTCCTTAGAGATTACATGGTACAATTCAAAAAAGAACATATGAAAAGTGTATAAAAAAGAAAAAAGTGTATCATCCTAATTAATATTTCTGTATGTCAAATCTGAAACAATCAATACTGTTATTATTCTTAAACAAAACTAAACACCTTGATATTTATGGTTTATATAAATAACCATTGAGAATGAATAAGTACTGAACTATTTATTGTTTTATTTTTTTTTGAGAACAACTTTCTATATTGAAGTTGTGAACAATGGAATTCAACCAAATTAGGAGTTGAACGAATCACACCGATTCTCAGTATAGGGGTTGTGGAGATTATTAAGTTTTTGATTGAGATCATGAACTGTTTGATGTCAGACCACTGTTGGAAACCTGGAAGCACTGGACGGCCGTTTCGTCCTACTGTGGGACTCCTCAGCAGTGCGCATCCAAGAACCCGCTCGCAAGATTCGAACTTAAGGCCTTCGGTCTCGCGCGCGAATGCTTAACCTACTGGACCACTGAGCCTGCATCCAATGATGATAGATTTGATGTTAGACGGCTGTTAAACGGCCGTCCAGTTCTCCCAGGTTTCCAACAGTGGTCTAACATCAATCGGTTCATGATCTCAATCAGAAACACCAACTGTATTAAAAGATGGTTATGCAACATTGGAAATTGATATTAAGCACTTGTTGCAATAAAACATGACAGTTCTAGATATGATTCTTGATAGTTTTGTGAACAAAACACTTCAAATGAGTCCTTATACTAGAATAAAAGAACTATTCAATAATTATTCCATGATAAATTTCAGTTGACTTTTAAGATTTATTATAAGCTGACTAGCGAACTGATCTATATAATAAATACAATTAATTAAAATAAATGAGTTGTGGTTTATTTTGTTTTTTTTGTTTGTTTTTTTTAGTTGCCGACTGTTCTCCACCATTTTTTCTTCCTTTTCTTTCTTTTGACTTTTGTGTTGTAATAAATTTATGCAAATCCTTAAAAGCAAAGATTGAATGTCCTCTATAATAAGATGAATGAAATTAGTTTGATCTAGGTTTATTATATAAAATATACAAAAATAAAATACAGAATAACAATAGATTACTGAATAAAAACTTATTTAATCAGTAGTATGTGAATGAATAAAAAAAAGAGAAAGATTATAGAGAATTAAAGTAAGTTTAACTTAGAAAAATGAATGTATGATCTATGTATATTATGGAGAAAAAGAAAGAAATCATGTATAGATATGCACTTGTTTTTCAACTTGTTTGTAGACGAAGAAGTTGGATAAGACACATATTGAGGAAAACATTCAAGTGTATCACAAGGTAAGATATCACTTAGAATCCTTATGATCAAAAAAGGAAAACTAAAAAAACAGATTATGCTGAGAAATGGAGACAGAAATGAGAAGCATGAACAACAGTTGGATAGAACTAAAAAGGATGGCTCAAGACAGAGTGAGTTGGAGAATGCTGGTTGATGGTCTATGCTCTACTGGAAGTAACAGGAGTATGTAAGGAAGTAAATTATCTCTTGAACTAAAGGTATTCAATATTCAAAGAAAAAATATTTTTATTTTCAGTTAATCTAATACGATTCCTTTATACATATAACACTTTTTATATGGATTAGAGTGAAAATCATTCAGTTACTTGTTTGTTTTTTCTCAAATAGAAAGCGATCAATAATAGGATTATGAATTAGTTCAGTATGTTATTTGCTCATTTTGATATTTAATTGTATTCTGACGATGAATTTTATTAAGTGGTTGAAGATAGGGGCAAAGAAACTTGTGTAGCCTAGATTTCTTGGTGTTGCCACTTATCAGCAATGTGTGCGCGTAATCATTAGTAAAATCGCAGATTGTAGAATTGAGTTGTAACGATTGAATTTTATTAGAAAGTATCACTTTTGTCAAAGTTACAAGTATGTTTGCCTGATGAGAACCAACTCGTTCGAAGTTTAGATTTAATGTTTCTTGTTGACTACCTCCAACCACTATCTTATCTCAACATAGTGCACGGAATGTCGGGTCACCTAAACAGGTGACACCATTGCAACTTCATCGATGGAATTCGACCAGCACTAAGAAGGACCTGACATACATGACATTGATCACCACACAGTGATCGATCAATTGTAAATTTGTGTAACTACTAATTTCTATTACTGTCTTAATAAATAATGTAAATGTAAAGAAAACTTATAGACTATGAAATCATTCACTTATCTATATATTGTATAACTATGAAATCTATGTTATTGTTCACAAAAGATCAGACTGATATTGTCAAGTGATGTACACGATGTTTGTTGCTTAAATAAGATCGCATGAAATATCATTTATTCAATGAATTGTTGGTTCTGGGAGTTGGATGAATATGCATTCCGTCTAACACTCGAATTCAAGTAAACTAGTTCATCACATCTATAGTATATATGAATATTAACCACAAGATAATATAAACTTTTACAGTTAGGGTCCTATGCGTTAAACAAACTGATAGCTACCTGAACTGTTTATATGAATAAGAAGTACTTTAAGTGCCGGAACCGAGTCCTAATGTGAAAATCAACACATAACTTAAGATACATACATTAAGTTAGCTTTAATCAGAATAGAATACATATCCTAGTTTCCAATTTTAGCCACATGTGAAAAATATATTTGTGAAAAAATCTGTTTAACTTGACATGCAGTAAGTTATATATAACAATTGGATGAGCATTGTTGAGAAGTTCCATACTAAGACGAAACGGCCGTCCAATTCTTCTAGGTTTTCAATGACGGTCTTACATTGATCGATTGATGAATTCAATACAATTCAACAATCTCGACAACCATAAACTGGAAATGATCATGTGCTCACTAGTGACTAACTCGGAGAGAGAATCCTTGAAGTTCTAGTGAGAAGCCATGACCAGTGGAGTTGATCCGTGCCAGATGTGAGGCAGTTACTCACTAAATATAATAGAAGACGGTCGTACTTGAGACCGAAAGTCCTAGGTTCAATTCATGCGTGCGAGATAGTGAATACACACTGCTGAGAAATCCCATATTGGTTCTCGATAGTGATCTGATCATGATCGATTGATGATCTCGATCGAAATTCAACAATCTCCACAACTCTATACAGATAATTATATATAAAAATTAAAAATATCCTCTTTTTAATATCTATGCTGACATATAACTATAATCAACAATAACATCAAAAATAAATAAATCCTACCCTAGCAGCTTTAGATGTATGCGGTTTCTCTAATAAATTCCATCCTTGTCTTTTTAAATTTGCATAACAACCAGAACCAAATTCATCAATAGTTGTTGTTTGTTTTAAACAATTTTCTTCTTTTTTAACTTCATCTTCAATTAAATCCTTTTGTTGATGATAACGATGTGAACAACATGCTTTAATAAAACTTTCATTAACACCCCAATAAATTAATTCATCTTTAAAATCCATTACACAAATCATATCATTATAATGTAATTTTTTAGATCGATAAAAATTCAATATCATTGAAAATATGATTGGATTACGATCAAAATAATATTCTTTATTAATAGGATCATAATCATCGCATAAATTTAATAATTCTTGTATATTAGTTACATGATGTAATTTACCTAATCTTGTATTTGGATAACGATCAACAATATGCCATAATATTTCATGTTTAATACCGCCAACATTAATTAATGCACGTTTTGATTGATTATTATTATTATTATTATTGAATAATTTCATTGTAGATAATTGTGAATTCAATGGTATAGATGATAATGGATCATTTATTATTGATTTAATTAATGGTTCGGTTATTGATTGTTTACAATTCGATAAATCAATATTATTATTGTTATTATTATGTGTTGATAATGATTGATTATAATATGATTTGGGTATATTATTATTATTATTATTATTATTATTATTATAATGAAGAAATTGATAATGAATATTTGATAAATGTAAATTAGAATTTTGATCTTTATGATGATCTAAGGTTTCATCAGTAGTAGTATATTGATTATGAGTATGATATAATTTATTGATGGAATTAAATGTTCTATGATGAATTTTATCTAAACTATTATATAATATTGGTAAATAAGGAATATTTGAATGATTAAATGAATGATTATAAATCTGTTCATTTAATTGACAATTCATTGAATGATGAACATTTTCAAAAGTATCTTTATGTTTCAAATTCAAAAATAAACTAGATGGTTCTGATCTCCAATTATGTTTCATTTTATTACTCCATGAATGGATTGATTGTTGAGGATCATGATGATGATGATGATGATGATAATCATGATGTTTATCAAGTTGATTATCTACAATAGGATGAATGTTTTCTAAATTATGTATAGGTGATTGTTTTTCATATTTTACAACTACTAATGGTTCATTTATTGTTTTTATTTCATTATGTTTTGTTATAGGTGATAATATAACAGATGTTGATCTCATTTTATTTGATTTCATCAATAATTCATGATTTATTGAAACTCTTGGATTACTTTCTGATTTCATTTGAACTGGTTCATTTGATGAATAACTTGATCTTGTATAAGAATAATAATATGGAAGAGATGATTGTGAATCATGGATTGATTTTTTCCAAAATGGATCAAATCGATATTTTTTGTTCCTTCTTTTTATTGTTGATAATGTTTTATATACATGATTATCAGTTTCTATATAAGTAGTATTTAAATCTTCTGAATCATCTTTCATTATTGTTTTCTCTTCTTTTTTACTATGATGGTTTATAGGAATGAAATGGGTTTAATCAGTAATTGATCATTAAAGTTGTACTCGTTTTATTAAAGAGACTAAGAATTAACATTTGATAGCTTAATATTGACAACAACAACAAAAAAAAACAAAGACACTCATTATCATTTTCATAAAAATGTCACATTTTAAGTCAATAATATAAAATAAAAAATGGTACTGACTTGTGATTTGATCCCTAAAAATAGACCAATAGAATGATGTGAAATATTTTTCTCCCATATATCTCATAACCAATCAGGTTATTATAATGAAAGAATAAACATTCTAGCAGAATAGCATGGATTTATTTTTTTGATTTCGTTGGTTCTCGTCAGCTGCTTACAACCTGAGATATTTAAAAATCATAATTACATAATGGGTTTAAATTACTTACATGAAAGAGTTTGATTGGAAGTTATATTGAAGACATATTCATATAGTATAGCAAGGGTGTAAATAAATTGAATAGACTGAATATTGTAAATATATACCTTATGTAAAAGAATATTGTGACGACAGTTCAAACGGCTAAGAACAAGTAAACATTGATATAGGAATAAAATGATTAGAGTTCAGTTGATAAAATAAGATTAATAATTTGGAAGATAGTTGGAATAAAGCTCAAGGATGTGATAAGTGCAAGAAAGTGTTTAAAGAAAAAGGAAAAAAAGCATATTGAGGTACAGCGAAGGAATATTAGTCACCAAGGCAAGGAAAGATTAATAACCATCTCCTTTTGAACACATAAATCAGGTTTTTGACATCTGTTAGCAACTGCTTCAGCAAACTTTAGAAGACTGGAGTTTGGCTGCTTACTAATCAGCATTTGATAGTTTTGCTTGATTTTGTATATTTTTTCTATAAAGATCTTACGCCTTATTACAAATTAACTTAATAATGATAATTGTACATTGAATGAGTAATGCGAGATAAGGAGATAGAACCTGAGTTGCATAGTCAATGCCGTATTATATAGGATAAAGATAAGATTATTTATGTGAATTACAATCAATTCTCATATGATTTCATAAGTCTGTGGATAGTAAAATGACAAGACAACAACAAATTTCTAGAACCAGATATAAATGACTTTTTATTATTTAAGGATATATATATATATATCACTTATAAACCACGTTAACATGTTGAGATTAGATGATGGTTGGAGGTAGTCAACAGGAAACCCTGGACCCGGGTTTCGTGCTACTTGGCACTCGTCAGCAAGGTGTACCTGTAATCTTGGGGGAACTGGTGCTCCTTAGTGGATTCGATCCCGTGTCACCTAGCTTCACATGATCGATAGCATTCGATCTGCACTAAATAAGGACTTGACATGCATGACACTGGTCACCACCCAGTGATCAATCAACTGTGATCATGTTAACATGTATTTCATATATCTATATTCTTTAAACTGTCTAACTTACAAAACGACTTTTCAAAAGGGATTCATCAAAATTGTGATATTATGTTGGTAATGGAATTGTGTTTTAATGATTCAAACTTCCAACTGAAGTTGATGTGCTGTATTCAAACTCATTTTGGTTAAGACCACATTGAAAATTAATTTCAATGAATTGACTATAAGCCAAGTGATTTCATATTTGACTAAGATTCAAAGTAAATAAACATTTTATAGATTTAAAACATTGAGAGGATTACAGTAGTTGAAAAACGTTACATGATGCAACTTTATCCTTTCTGATTAGGATTTTTAGAAAAATTCTTGAATTAACCCTATAACTTTAAGTTTTTTTACGGTTACTACTCTAAAATTCTTGTTATATTGTTGATTAAACTTGAAACTCTCGAAGCTAAGTTGACTTATGTTAGTTCCTTTTTACATTACAGTAGTTTATTAGCTACAGTCATCGTACTTTAATTAATGTTTCACTCTGTCGAAATGATATTGTCCTATCGAAATTCATGAAGATACTGCGAAAAATTTAAAAAAGAAAACAATTCTTCCCATCTCTTATCCTTACAACTTTGACTGTGATTTAAGAAATTTGATATTAACAGTTTATGTCCAGTAATTGAAGAACACTTATAACCGTTTATTTTGTTAATTTCTGAATGATTATACTCAGAGTTTATGCTGTCTAAAACGGTTGTTTTTAGCTGAAGTGTAGAACATTACTGGTAAATCAAATCCAAAATCTATGAGTTTTACATAGCTACCTTACTAGTACGTCATCTTCTATAGACGTTATATCTCCCACATTTAGTATTTTTATTGCATTCTGTCGAATTAAATTCTAAAATCTAACGTTTAACTGAAATTCATTTCTTTAGAACGCTTTTTCCTTGATGCTATAACCACCTACCTATATCCAATTGAAATAAGATCTATATTGATAACTAAGAAGAAATTGACACTGTGAAAAAAAGATTCATACTATTCACCTAAACATTATTTGTAAAAATAATATTTGAAATAATATTAGCGAGTGGAATTTAAATAATTCCAAAGTTTCGTCCAGCAAACTTGTCTGGACGTTTTCAGGGTATTAATACTTTGTTAGATAGATAGATAGACAGATAGATAGTTGTGAGTAAATCATTACACACATATCAATCAGCATATATATTATCGCCATATAGAAAGTCACCTGATGGTCAATCATCAAACATCATACGAACCACTGAGTTCGAATCCCAAAGTGGATATTCACTCTATCAGGCTTGCAGATAAGCCTTGGTAATGAGTGCCACTTAGCATAAAAATAATTGGCTTCGAATAGATTATATTAAGCTACTTACCCAATTTTATAACTAGAAATATTAAAATAATTTTCATTATCAAGGGCTTTCATAATTCCAAAAAACTGTTTTTAAAAAGGGTTTAACTTGAAAAATACACTGAAAGTGTAGAGGCTAGTACTGTATCAAGCTCGCATAATAAATCAGGATGGCCATCAAACAAATCGAAAGTGTGAAAGCAGTAGCACTTGACAATATACGAGCCAAAGCACTAAACTCAGACATAGAACTAACTGCAAACATGCTCCGTATTCTATTCAGAAAGATTTGGGAGGAGGAACAAGTGCCTATAGACTGACGAGAAGGACATCTCATCAATATATTAAAGAAAGAAGATCTGAGTGAATATGAAAACCACAGAGGCATCACACTACTATCAATACCAGGGAAAATCTTCAACAGAGTATTTCTGAACCGGATGAAGGACGTAGCGGACGCCCAATCTCGAGATTAACAAGCTGTATTCCGTAAGGATCGGTCGTGCACAGACCAAATTGCGACACTGCGGATAATCGTTGAACAACCAGTTGAGTGGAACTCGTCATTATACATCAGCTTCCTTGATTATGAGAAGGCGCTTGACAGTATGGACAATAGAACACTATGGAAACTTCTTTGGCTTTATGGTGTATCTGAACAGATCGTTAACATCATATGGAATTCACACAACGGACTACAGTGCAAAGTGGTGCATGGAGAACAGCATTTTAAGTGAGGACCGTAGTCAGACAAGGTTGCTTACTCTCTCCCTTTCTCTTTAGTCCGGTGGTTGGCGGGATTATGGATACTTTGACATCTAAGGGGAAGCACAGGATACAATGAATAGCTCGGAATCAACTAGACGATGTGGACTTCACAGATGACCTAGCTCCTTTATCCCATGCACACGAATAAATGAAGATGAAGACAAACGTGTAGCGGCAGCTTCTACAGCAGTAAGCATCAATATACACAAGGGAAAAACAAGATCTTGAAATACAATACGGAGAACACAAATTCAATTTCACTTGATGGAGAAACTTTGAGAAGGACGGAATCCTTCATGTATCCGGGTAGCAGCATCGATGAACAAGGCCGATCAGATGCAGACGTAAAAGCAAAGCAAGGACAGAATTCCTACAGTTGAAGAACATATGAAACTCAAAGCAGCATGAAAGTGAGAATCTTCAATATGAGCGTCAAGATAGTTCGACTGTACGAAGCTGAAACTTCGAGAACTACTACAACTATCATCAAAAATGTAAAAGTATTTCTAAACAGTTGTCTATGCAAGATATTCAATGTTCGTTGACCAAATACCATCAGCAACATTCTACTGTGGGAGAGGACAAACCAGGTTCCATTTGAGGATGAAATTAGGAAAAGACGATGGAAGTGGTGGATAGGGTATACATTGAGGAAATCATCAAACTGCACCACGAGGCAAGCCCTATCTTAGGATCCTGAAGGGAAACGGAAGGAAGGAAGGCCAAAAAACACATTGTGTCAGGAATAGGAAACATATATGAAAAGGATGAATATCAACTGGAAAGAACTGGAAGGGGTTCTCTAGGACAGAGTCGGATGGAGAATGCTGGTGGGTGGCCTATGCTACTCCACGTGGGGTGACAGATGTAAGTAAGCAAGTAAGTTAGTACGGTTTTTTAACAAACGGGATCGAGTGCATCTTCCTTAGGCCACACAAACCACACTAGACTTTTCGATCAAAAAGGAATACGACTCCGCGTATCTCGTCTCCGCAATGACTTCTCTGTTCATCTGGCCATTCTACTAATATATATCTAACGATAACTCTATGCATCTGTCATAACTCAAACGACAACGTACACTGACTTTGCATTTTATGATTACTATCAACAGCATTACAGCAATGAATATCACCCATCAATGCAGTTATCATCTTACGTCTGGATTACTTTTATCTCATATAAACTTCATGTACGTAAATTCCAATCCATTAATTGTTAATCGACGCTATTTACTCTACCACAGCTTATTAGAACATGTTCATATTTCGCTACTCTTTATCCTTATATTGTGTGGATACCACAGACCATTTTCTGTTATATTCTACCCCCACTTATTTTCACGATTCATTCCACTGTTATACTCATTAATGATTAACAATTTATTATTGTTTTCATGGTATTTTGGATCGCTCATAGGAATGTGTTATTTTATCATCCAGACAGTCACTACATAAATGTAAGTTTTTGTACGGTTATTAATTTGCTCATAATCACATAGTAAAATTCCATTTTTTTATCCACCTCTTTACGATATTCATGTACTTTTGTTACATAAATGACACTTTCGTGTAAATGTTCACCTCTCATACGACACTGTACATTATCGGGTATAGTACTATATTATCATTGCTTTTTAAAGTTATTCACATACCTCTTCAGCGTTATCTTCGAAAAAAGACATTTTTCAAATTAATGCGCTAGTTTCTACATAGGGGCTTTGTAGGGGCTGGTAATGTGTCAAGCTCACATAAGTTATTCTATCCTCTGGACAGATCAGTCTATTCATTCTTCTCAAGCTACATTTTTACCCTTTCACTTATTCGCTTATTAATCCTGACTGTTTTGTTATATGATCGGATGTGTGCCAATTAATTACTTTACTCACTACCTGTCTGCACGTTATTTTTTTCTGATTATAAATATCGGTTCATGCATGGTTAAACTGAGTTGACTCAATCACCTTCTCCATCGCGCGTCATTTCGTTTTGCTACGCTTTCCAATCAACGATTGTACGAAATATACGTATTCAAAAATCCATTCCCGTATTTGACTTATTTAATCCGTTATTTCCTAAGGTGAGTTATTTCGATGATTATATATGATGGTAGCCAGGATGTTTATTTTGGCAGCAATCATTCGGTAACAATCATTCGTCCGATCAAACTGAAACCAGATCTTGGGCCACTGAAAAATTTGGTTGAATTAAATACAATAACCTTGTATTTTCATATATGAATTTCAGTTTGATGTTAAGTTCTGTCAGGTTAGTTTGCTGAATAGTGCTTCCTCAAAATAGGATATCAGAAGTAAATGTAATATATACAGAATTAATAGTTAAAATGTTTTCAACGGCCAGTTGTGTACTATTCATGTGCACAGTTTTACATTAATATAAATACATCTACATTAGTTTTTAGTTTTCAACAATCAATCGTTTATATTATTATCGGGAAGTTTTTGAGTTATTCTTTTGTGGATATTCAGGACTTAATTTCGACTAGTCTTTATTTCATATGTATAAATTTTAGCAGTAAAATCTACGGAACATTCTGTTTGGTACTAGTTGGTTTGGCATACTTCAAAATGTACATATATATCAACAAAAACTAATCATTTCATTGCTTTATAACTTGGATTCTTCCATTTATAAGTCAAAATGTAGCATGAATCGATGATCCATACACACTGAGACAAAATTCACTAATTTCTTAATGGCTGCTTAGTTCTTTTTGGTATGTACCAGTAATTTTTGGGTTATAGGTAAGATATGTATACAGAAAAGCTGTATCATACTTTTGACTTTGCAAGAGGTAAGATTAGTTCTTATGTAAAACCAAACTAGTTTTTCATTTACTCCCAATTGTTAGTGTTGTAATCGCATAACAGCAATCCAAATTAGATACCCGTATTTCATACAGTAGAGTCCAAGTCTACATCTACTGAAAATGGAACTTTCAAAAAGATTATTAATGTAAAGATATAACCCAAAGTGGAATTATAGATACAAACAGTCACCGAGATGTCAGATCCCATACTGGAACAAAACAACTGCCTACTACTTTCTAATTTACAATAGGTGTTTAACTAAGATCAGCTAATGATATAAAAATACAGAAACCAACAAGCTTCACAAGTCCTTTTTAGTAATCAATTTTTTCTTCATTCATTTAAAATCCTTTTTTTCTCATTACAATGATCTCTAAACTAGTTGTTGATGAATAAAAGAAATATAAGCCAGTTTACAAACAGTTCTACTGTATGAAGTGGAAACTTGGGGAAACACGAAAGCCATCATCCAGAAGATCCAAGTGTTTATTAACAGTTGTCTAAGCAAAATACTTCAGACCCTTTGGCCAGACACCATCAATAACAACCTACTATGGGAAAGAACAAACCAGATCCCAGTGGAAGAAGAAGTCAGGAAGGAACGATCGAAGGGGACAAGACGCACATTGAGGAAAGCACATAACCGTGTTACAAAGCAAACCCTCACTTGAAATCCTCGAAGCCAAAAGAGAAGAGGAAGACCAAAGAATATAGTACATTGAAAAATGGAGACAGATCTGAGAAGAATGAACAACAATTGAATAGAACTAGAAAGGAAGGCCGAGGACAGAGTGGGTTGGAGAATGTTGGTCAGTGACCTATGCTCAATAGGGGGTAACAGGCAAACTTCATAATGGCAATATCAATACAATAGATATGGAATTTTTTCAGAAAATGCACAGATTTATCTATGACTTTCTTTTGTTTCTTCTTTATCCGTTGATCTCTCATGTAAAATATAATTTTTACTTCAAAGTATATTCAATGTCATTTAACTTTTTAAATGATTATCTAACTATCCAATCGTTTCAAATTCTTAAGTTCTGTTTGTTTGTTTGTTCTTTCTCCTTTTTCCCGTAAGATCTTTTGAGCTTAATGATTTATTGTTTACTCTATTTTAATTTTACTTCTTTGATATTCATAATCAAAACAAACCCATTTGTTTCACGATCAAGATTTAATTATTATTGATAAATAAAACATGATATCATTGTGATTCTGTTGTTGTTGTTTCTTTAATTGAGCGATCTATCCGGTTGATTAAAAAGAAAATGATGATATAACCTAAGCAACAAAAACAACAACAACGACGACGACAAAGAAAGAAGGCCGTTCAAACTCATATTTCACTCAATATATTGAGGTAAAATGATTATGTGTTCAGTTATGGTATTTTAGATTATAGTAGAAAATTCCTAAATAAATGAGATTGAAATAATGTTGATCTTTATTAAATTTTCTTGTTCATATCATATAT